AATTTAAGCACTTACAGCCAGGTTTTTCAAGGCATTTAGTTATTTAAACCTAGACGTGGGTTCCTCATGGGATCATCTACTTTTGCTGGCGAGATAGGCACCCACTGAGCACTTCTTGCAACTCTGCATGGTTAAGGACCTCTCAGTATTTGATTCCTACCTACATGTTCAGTCATAGAATCATAAAATGGTTTGGGTTAGAAAGGACCTGAAAGATCATCCAGTTCCAAGCCCTCTGCCATGGGCAGGGACACCTTCCGATGGCAGGGGGAGTGGAACTACATGTATGTAGTTTGCTCAGGCCCCTTTAAACAAAACTATTAGATCTACTGCTCATCAGTTTCGAAAACATTAGCTTTAAGAAATTTATTATTTGAAGTCTGCAAACTAGGCTTGCAATGTTCCTTCCGAAATTCAAGGGATGTTATCTCTTTTCATTGAATCACACTGGGAAAAACCCCTCCTAACTAATGTACTTATTTTCATTTCCTGCGCTACATTTCTGCAATCATCTTATCAGTACATTTTTTGTCAGGGTTATGAAGAGAACCTTGCAACTTTGTCAAAACTGAGCTGCTAGCAGAAATATTATAAGGCCACCTGAGTTGCCGCAGCAAGAGCCAAGAAAAGGACAGAGAGGCAAATACTTCTAAAATAATTATTCAGCAAAAAAACATGTGTGCATATCATATTTGAGTGTTCAAAGATGTGCTCCTGACGTGTAATATAGCTGAGGAGTCAGGCATTTTGTAAGGTGGTCACTCCATATCAAAGAGCAAAGATATTTAGTTTCCCATTAAAAAACACGGAACAACAACAACAAAAATAACCAGCCAAAAAACCAGCTCCTCCCCCAGCAAAATCTCTGCTTATCTGGAGCCCAAAAGGAATCTGCAGATGTATACCCCCTGCGTGAGAACAAAGTCTTCAGTCACTGGAATGCAATGCTATAAAAACAAATACTACAAAGCCTGGTAACAGGGGGATGTCTCACTTGCATATTTTTTGTGACCATCTTGGTTTGCAGAGAAGGGGGTCCCCAAAGCATGTGAGCCAGCAGGATCCCTTTGTACTAGGTTGCCGTCTGTTTGGCCAGATGTCTTCCCAACAGTGAGACAGAAAAACCAGAGCCCTTATTAAAATAAGTTGGGGAAAGGAATGGAAAAAAGCATGTGTCCAGTGAAACGAGGCACATTGTGTCCCATCTGATATTTATTAAATGTTGATCAAATCAGCAGTGAGAAATGCACATCATGAGGAAGTGACCCTGGCTCCCTGGGTTTGGAAGTCAGCGACAAATGTCTGGGAGCAAACCAACACTGAAAACATGTGTACAGGACGCAGAGAGGAGTGTGCTGCTCTAGGAGCAACAATAACAAGCAGGGAAGAGCTGACTTCAGCCTAGAACCCCCTTTTGCAGGTTTGACATATGTTCTATCAATAAAATGGGGGTGCAGGGTCTTTCCCCGTACATTTACTCTGCAGCTTTCTAGATAAGAGGTTACACATCTCCTGGAAGAACACTGCATGGGCTCCTTCGAGCCTTGACTCAGCTTTTGTGATAAACCTGTATAATTTTATGCCAACCTGCTGGGTTTTGTGTAATCACAATGAGCGTTTGAAATTGTCTCCCGTCTGTTGTTGCTTAATGTTTTGGCTATCATGTTTTTTCAGAGCATCCCTTCAGTTAGTGTCCTCACAGCACAAACTAAATGCATCTCCTGTATAAGAACAAGCTTATTTGGGCTTGGTCCTTAAATAGGGTAGTGGGGAAGACCAACAGGGCAAGCTGAAGCCAGGCTCCATGCTGGGGGAGGTTGTGGAGTCCTGATTACACTGTAATTCATCCCTATATGAGAGAGGGTTGCACTCCTGCCTTTTACCTTTGGTCATAGCCTGGATTATTTAACTGCACAGAAAGACATCAGAATGAGTCTTCCAAAACTTTTCTTCAAGGTATCTCCATCTTTAGTAATTTTTATATGTTCAGTAAACTAGAAAGTCAGCTGTTGCTAAAAGCAGAGTAATGAACTATGTATTTGCACTAAAGAGTAAATTTAACAGCTCTGGAAGACTTTACTGTGTCTATCTCTAGGCAAATGAAAATAAAGGAGCCTGTTAAAGCTCCCTGGCTTTTTACTCCAGCCGTGGACCTGGGGCACATTAGGTGAGAGCATTGGGGGTTCAGTGGCAGTCAGATAAAGTTTTAAGCTGACAGGCAGAAAGCGCCAGCAGACAATACAATACGCAGTTCCAGCCCAGCTTAGTTAATGGAATCACTCTAGCCTGTATGATCACTTTAGTACACTGTGTTTATGTTATTGATACCAACAGCACCGGACTGTTAAAGGATGGAAAGGTCTGGCTTTTGTTGGGGTGCCGTTCTGATGTCAGTTTGAAATACGCTGAAAGTAAAAGTTCCGAAAAGCCAAAGTGCTGTTTTATTGAACCAGTGATAGAGAGGACTGAGACAAGTGAAACAAGATCCTTATGAAGCAGTGGAACATGCATGATGCTAGATGCTGAACTGCAATACATCCAGTGACATCAACAAAGTTTCAGCTCGTTACACTACAGAGGAAGCTGGAGTACGGTGACAGAAAGCAGGTCACGTCATAAAATGAGTAATCTTAATAAGAGACTGTAATCAAGTGAAACTTTTCTATGTGCAGCTGCTGTCAAAGGTTTTGTTTTTATTTCTGCCTTTCTCTGTGCTTTATACTTCTGCAGTCTATCAATCTTCCCAGTTATGGATCTGGTCCTGCTTCCATTAACATTAAAATAAGGAGGATCAAGCTTTCTGTTATCTGTGTATTTAGAAGGTGAATGTGATGTGCTTTTTACCCCAAGCTTCTTGTGTTTTTTGTTATGTGGTATGTTCAGGGACTTACAGGATTGGAATCGGAATTTTAAACCCTTTGGAGGAGGAACCTTGCATTCAGCGCACAGGGACTCAGTGAGCCCATTAGTACCAGCTAACAGCAGCAAAATGGTGCTCCAGACACCATGAGTTCCCATTGTGAAAGAATTTCAGTCTCTGAATACGTACTGCAAACCTTTAGAAAACTGCACTTTCCCTTTCCAGCTTTTTCAGCAAGCAGAGCTTCTCCACTAGCAAACTCCTCGAGACTGTGAAGCAAACAAAGAAAACCAGCCCACACATCAGGATCCATAAGCAAACTTGGCTATTGACTTATGGACCCTTCACCTTTTCTTTTGTGGTGCTGGAGTTATCAGCCTTCCAAATCCAAGTCACCAATAAATGGGCTATGCAACTGCCCGTCCCTGTGCCAGGTCCCTTCCTTCCCACCTGCACAGTCAGGAAAGAAGCCTTTCCCTCTGGAGTTTCTGCTCTTGGGTTTATGCTTACAAGTCTTGGTCTTATTTCCCATAATGTTCCTGTTCCTGAAAAAAAAGAACCAGATTTTCGCAACTGATTTTATGCCTAAACCCCAAGCAACCCAAATCTATGCCATCGCTTTCATCACATAGCAACAGAACATGACATCACAGCTGAAAAGTTTAGAAAAAACAGGAGATGACACAATGTGGAAAGTGGGCTGACCTGTGAGAGATGCATTTCTGCCTTAGCCACAGTTAGTATATGTGCAGAGGGAACTGAGGAAAATGCCTTGTTAAATAAACTTTGTATAAATCTCTTCCTGAGTTGCTCCAATGTGGTAATCCCTCCTGCAAGTACCCTGGGATTAAGGAAGTCACTGGAAAATGCTGTCCTTTGAGAGAGAAATACAGTTGACTTAACTTGATATGTCGGTCACCCGTCCTCCATGAACCCAGGGGAAGTGGTCTGTGCTTTTCTCTTAAAAAATGAAAAATAAAAAACCACTCTGCGGAAGGTCATGAGTTAGGAAAAGTAAAATCAGCCATGGGTTAGGCCTCAGGGGAAATATAAGTTACTCATAAAAAGCTACGGAGCAAGTTTTGATTAGTTAAGTAATCTGGTACATAGACTTTATTGGAGCTTAAAGCTTTCCTGTGGAACTCCCCTAATAGTACACAAACAGAGTAAAATATCAAAGACACACATTTTCTGACAGACACAGAAAGCTACATTTATCCTGGCCTGCTTAACACGCATCGGAAGCAGGCATAAATCCCTCCTGTCCGTTCAAGCACAGTGGTCCAGGTTTCATGGTTTTACACATTTGTGTTTCTGATTGATTTCTTGGTAGCTTAATCAACACTTCCAGTACTCTCGAAGCTGTTCCTGAGGAGCACGTAGAGAAAAGAGGAATATTGCTTCCCTAATAGACTCAAAGATACCAAACCATTCTGCAAAAAGCTCAAATATAAAATAATAAAGGCCTGTTTTCTCTCATCACCTAGAGGCCCTTTTTCAGAAACTCATCCACAAGGAGAAATTCACCAGCATTTTTCTGCTGGTATAGATGCAACAGTAGCTTTACCAGTATAGCACCCCTTCTTCTCTGTCGAAACAGTATTCTCCAAACTCCCCCAAAATAAGAAAAATAGTCTCTCTCATTATGGAAAGAAAGTGTTCAAATGGTAGCCATTTGTAATAATGGTTACAAAGCAGGACCAGTACTCCTACCAGGTTTTCACAGTGCTATGCCAAAGCATTTACTGACTCCTGTTGCCCCTGTAGGGAGGCTGAATGCTAAGAAAGAGCTGCTGCAGCTTGATGCTTGACAGAGGAGATGCTAGTAAACATTTGACTTGCAAATCTCACCGTAGTCTTGCTAGCACAACTGGAAAATGTCAGGAAAACCACAGGTTTTCCAGATAAGCAGAACCTACTTCTCTTCCATACACTAAATTCCCAGAGTGATGGTGTCACTAAGCTGATGCTTTGACCACTGTGGAGGCTGTCCTAGCAGAATGAGCAGATAGGTACCCATATATCATCTTCTTACATAAATAATTTGTTCTTTAAAAAATGGACGAGAGGAAATGGGGAGATAAAACCAGCAATGTGTTCTTTGCCATTGTTTTAAAATTCTTAAAATCTTTTTTTGCAGGTATTCAGGAGGGGACGCAATGCACCAAATGTAAAAATAACTGGGCACTGAAGTTTTCCATCATATTATTATATATTTTATGTGCCCTGTTAACAATCACAGTAGCCATTCTGGGATACAAAGGTATGTATGCATTGAGCGCAACATTTCACTTTCAGCCAAGCATCCAAGCGTATTCCCACGTATTAGATGGACAGGCCATTTATCATATTTTCACCTTAAATATCAATATCTTTGCAATGTTATTTGTTGTACACACATGATCATTCTTCTGCCACAAAGGAGTACTAACTGGAAAACTCAAAAGCCCTGTAACATGTGCTATATATACCTTGATTTCACTGACCTTTTTTACATATTATGCACCTTTCCAGAATAAATGTCCTTCTTAATGGGAGAACCAGGAGTAGTATTACTAATACAATATTTATCACAGGAACAAAGTGTAGGATCAATATTACATTGAAGTATCTGGAGGAAAGATTGAACTAGGAAGTGCCAATGTATTGAGTTATCTGCAGTTATTTTGACAAGAAAAGATGCTTAGATACTTTTGACGGTAATTTCAAAGACTCTGGTAGCTGGGCAACCCAGTAATGGAGAAAATTTTGTTTCTGCAGTCATCGACAGGGCACATTGGAAAGCACGACTTAAATTTCCCTTACATCCTCAGCACTAATTGACTGTAGCCACTTAGGCATATGAATGTTTTGATGTAAATGTCTGCTTGTTGTGCAGTCACAGCTGTAAGAAGTTAAATAAGATGTGAGTTTCTGGTAAGAAAAAGAAAGTGAATAACATAATTCTGAGTATTATAGCGGGACATCGCAGCATGTTGTGGAGAAAACCAAGCTACCTTTAAACTAGCTACTTGAGTATGGCTCTGAGAGTAGCTTCAAAACGCCTCCAAGAAGCTGGGTAAATATTCCTGTGACTAGCATGCAGTGCGTCCTGTGCCGCCAACAGCTGCGCTCGTAGTAGAGCTGACATCACCTCTGGTCCTTTGCCAGTGAAAGAAAAGGAAATTGTAGAAATAGAAAGGGATAAATACTTGTTTAAGAGGATTTGGTACAGTTTTGAGTGGGAAGAAAATTAAAACTGCTTGGTTTAGCTGGAAGATTTAGCCAGGGAGATTAGAGAATGTGAAGGACAGATAGAGACACATAGGTATTCCTTTCTCATGATAAAGCAGATGGAATGTGACAAATTAAAATTAAATGTAAAGAAATGTAGTACATATGTAATTGGTCAGACATTCTCTTGAAGACTGTGTAATTGGTCTCTGGAAGTCAGATTCTGAGGAAAAAAATACTTTCCAGGATTCAAAAACTTATTTGTGATCTATAAAGATAAGTTCATTTGGTTATATGGACTAGGGGAGGACAAAGTTAGGCCTTTTGCACATATAAATCTGCAGAGATGTGCTTATTGCAGATGATGGGATCCTTCCAGGCTATAACCCAGCCACTAAATGTCTGGGATTTAGCAGGATTTTCCTCAAGAGAGTTTTACACAAGACTATCAGTTCTGAGGCTCACAAGAAGATTCAGACATCACTTAGCATTAGAAACAGTTTATCAAGTTGGAGGGACCATTGCTCTGTATCTTGCTTTGGCAAATGTTTGTGTGTGTGTAGGAAGCAATAGCAATAAGGAAACGGTCCAAAAGATCTCTTTGGGAGAGGGAGTTTCTCTTCCTCATTTCAATCCACAATTTTCAAGCTTCTTTCTCTATGGTAGCCTCTAGTACTGTCTTTTCCCCAGGCCTTGCTCTCATCTTGAGGCCCCATCCTTGCTATACTCTTTTCTAAACCTCCTTTTTGTAGTGAGTAGTCACTGGTGCCTGATTGAGGACAAGTCATAGCAGTACCAAGCCACATCCATCCAGGGCAAAAAAAATGGGAAAAAGATTATAGGAAGGTGGACAAGGCATATCTTGTTCGCAGATCTTAAGACATCTTGGCGACTACTGCTCCACTGCTCCCCGACTTTGCGACTGCTCCACCTGAATGCCAGGGTAAAGAGGCATACACTGGAGAACAGTTCTGTTTAGTCCAAGGTATCCGTTCTGTAACACCAAGCAGCAGTTGGTCATATGTCAGGCTGTACCTGCAGCTTAAGGGCTTCGTCTCCACAGTGCCTAAGGGCTAATTTGCAGGGAAAACATGAGTTAGACAAAACCCCAGTTGACGGTACGTATTCAAAGGAATTACTGCAATATTTTGCATTGTTGGGAAGGAATTAGGCCTTAAAGGAAGAACAAAGCACAAAATAAAATTTTATAGAGCTCTTGAACTCTCCTTAATGCATCAGAGTTTGGCTTGTCTCTTTTATTGCAATATTACACTGAAAGAAGGAATTCTGCTGGCATCAGGGATTCTTTCAGTCTCTTAGCTAAGTTTCCATTAAATTTGCCTCCCACACTTATGTTTATAAAGCCCAAAACTACTTTTAAAACTTTCATTTCCTACGTGGTATTTAGATAGCCTTTGTGATTTAAAACGTTAAAACTACTAATCAGTGGATTAAATATGGCAGGCAAAAAAACAACTCAATGGGAGGCAAAGTCAACATAGAACAAACCTCCAGACTGGTGGTAAAAATTACATAGTAGGTTGGAGAAACCTGAAACCAAAACATGAATTAAACATCAAGGTCATGAAGGAATAACAAGCTGAGTTTACTATTAGTTTGCTTTGAGAAGACATACTGAATTATTGTTAGAAACATTAATAGAACAATCTAATTTTTTACACATACTTTCTTAAATTAAATGCAAAATACAAAGTTATAACTTTTCTGTCACCAGCCAGTGTTGGATTAGCCTACTGAAGGTGAGTGATCTTCCTGTGGCTCACTCCAGTGAGGGAAGCTAGCATGCTCTCAGCTTGAATTTCTGGTAGTTCTCATTCTCTGGTCAGTCTTTGTTTTTCAGTTTCTTGACTAATGCCCACCGTGACTTTCATCTACTTCTTTTATCTGTCTCCCAGACAGAGTTTGCCTGCCATTACCTAGGGCCAACACACCCTGGTGAGATGGCACATTTTGTCCCTGCTTCTGAAGTAGTGGCTCAGATGCAGACAGTCCTCACTGTTCCGGTCAGCAGCTACCTGAAAGTTTGGCTTCTTTTGTCTTTACCATATTTTCCACAGTGACCTTGTCAGAAAGGGAGATGACAATGTAGAGCAATCTGATCAAGCTGAGAATTAAGGTGAAGCTATCCAAAAGCAAGCTTAAGGCATAGACAGGCTTTGCATTTTTGAGAACAGCAGACTGTTGGGAGCAGCAGAGTGGCCTTCATAAGGGGTGTTATGGCTGGTCTGCCTGTTTTACCTTTGCCTTTTTCTGGAGCAGATGGGAAGTTCAAGCCTGGGACACTCTCCAGAGGTTGACTTCCACTCCTGAGAGTGCTCCACATGCTTGCCTACCACTGAAGGCTCCATCCAGAGATGGTAGTAGGAGTTACTGCTTGGGAAGGAAAAGCATTCCCAATAATAGGACATCTGTCCATATGACCCCTTTTGACAGCAACAGCAACAAAACCTATTTGTTCTCCCCAGAGTTCATCCTTTCCACTTGCAGGGCAGAAGGAAGAAAGTAAATAAGCCACAACTTCCTTAGGGAAGGAGTTTGGGCAGGAGAACAAGTCCCCCAGGCCCACGATTTGTTCGACCGTGGAGGCTAAGATCCTGCCCCTGTACAAAGCAAATACATGCATTGGTTTGTCTGTGGGATGGCAAAATTCAGCTTAGCCTGTGTCACTGGGAAACCTTGAGCTAAGCCTAGAGTTCACCTCTACTGTTTCTGCTGCTGGAGCTGGGTGGTTTGAACTTGGCTCTGGTCTCTCACCTCTACACTTCACAAGACAGGACTGACTTGGTCCATGAGGGGAAACAATTAAAATAAAGGAAATGTTTTGCCTGATATAGCTAATTCTGCACTCTGCATCAGTTAATCTGGGTAAGTCATCACCAGTTTACTGTCAAATAGACAAAAATCAGTACCTGATGTATTTGAAAGCAGTCTTCTCCTTCCACCCTCTCTAAACCAGCATCTTCCAGCTGAGTGTCGTGTCAGCCCTCCCGATCCAGCACTGCTGTCTGGCATCGAGTTACACGCTAGAATTAAAAGCTATTGCTCTCTGTAGGAAAAAAGCTGCTGGGGACTGAAAGACATATTAACAGTGCTCATTAGTGATCTTTCAGACACAGTCCAGGCACAATCTTCCCCATATACCATGGCCAATTGTCAACAATTCCAGTAAGGCTTCTGATTACAGTCCTTCTTCAACAAATTTTTGGGGTGTTCCACACAAAGAATGTCCATAGCTACAGACCAGCTTTGGTCTTTTTAGTGTGGGGTGGGTTTGGGTTTTTTTGACTTTCGGCAATGAAAATACTACACGCTGTTGTATCTTTAATTCCATCCAATCTCATCTAACTGCCAGTAAAGGCTACTACCTGTTGGTAGGATCTCTACTATTTTCATTTGCTTTGGACTCTTCAGGGGAGTATTTTAACCCAAGTTTCCAGTGTTAGGTTTCATTCAACCATTAAAACATTCTTGTTGTTACAGGACAGCATAAAATCTCAGTCTTACAAACTTCAGATCTGAAGTACAAACTGGCATTCATTTGAACAGCAGAAGGAAGAAACTACATTTTCCTTTCATTATTGATAATATATATTCATTTGCCAGCTCCAAGTGTTGCATAACTGGAGAAAACAGGTGAATATTACACTAAATCTGAATTAACGAAACCCATAGGTGATGTGACACTGCTAATCAAGGCACAGGTCCAGCAGAAACACTTGGAGTAGGCCTGCTTTTTAAATCCAGATGCCTTCACGAGGTCCTGTCTAAGTGCCCAGAGTGAGCCACATCCTTCTCAGTGACTATCCAGAAACAAAGCAGAACAGCACAGACTGAACAAGGAGCTGCCTAGAGCTATCCAGAAGGAAAAGCCAAGTATGGTCCCCGCGCTCTCTGCGTGTGGTGCATAGGTGTATACATGCATCAGTGGAGTGTGAGAAGTAACTGAAAGACCTTTGCTGATCTGGGCTCCAGCCTGGAAGACATTTCGGCAGGACAGAGAATCAACTCTGGCTTCGTTTAGGAAAAATGGCATACAGCATTTTGACAAGTAACTTTAGTGGGCAGAAAAACAAGAGGAACATTAGTGCTATATTGGGGGGAAGGGGGAGAAATATTTTCTAAAGCAGAAGGTATTGAGCAATGGTCCCTCTGAAAAAGCAAAGCCATTATTGTAGCCTGGATCTGGTGTTTAGCAAGCTACGTGCCATTGTCCTAAATACAGAAAGTCGCTCTCTTTATGCACATAGTAGTCTCTGTTTTACTGGCTTGTTAGCAGTATAGAAAGGAGAAGGAAGGTAATTCACCAAAGGGTGTCTGGTGTCTCTGAAAACCTTGAGACTTTTTCTCTGCTGTAACTCCACTCACCTCGGTGCAGTTGCACCAGAGATAATCTTGGTCTGCTGTTTCTCCTGTTGGTTTTGGGGAAGCAATGAAAGCCTGCTGTGTCACTGTGATACCCAAAGAAGAACAAGGGCGAAAGTTAAGAATGAAGGAGCACTTGATGGACTACACTTTAAAGCTCTGGGATGCTTGTGGTTTCTCATGAGCAGCAAAAGATCCCCTGAATTTTGACTTCTAGTAAAAAAACAAATCTTTACATAGAAGCAACTTGTATGAGGCTATTTCCTAGCTTTAGATTACCTCACAGACAGAAAGAGTGAGCGGTATCCCCTACCCCACACAAGTTTACAGTATTGACTTCAGTATCACACCTTATTTCTACTCTTTGAGAGAGGGGGCTGGCACAATAACTTCTGTAGCCTCTCCCAGGGTTGGTGAAGATCCATTCTGCTCCCAGTGTAGCAAAAGGGCTAAATAATCTGCTGATGAGAAGAAATTTCTGCCCCAGTTGTGGTTTCAGTGCAAGAGTGTGCTAGACAAGGTTTGGTGTGGAAGTTGAAGGCTGCCTCTAACCTTGAAAGCATTTCACATTTTTGTCACTGGAAGTCACTCCAGGCTCTTTATTTGTTGCTCTGCTTTTTCCATTTCCATATCAATTCCATCAAATAATCAGATTGTCTCAGTGACAAGACAATGATTCAGACATTACAAAATAAAGAGCACATCAGCCATAAATTTACACTTGTGAATAACCATCCTTTCAATCTTAAAGAGTCAGAATGGTTTCAAGACCATTTTAAGTGATCTGTACCATTATCAAAATGTTTAAAAGTTGATCCCCAAAACATTTAGTAATTGCATCTTCAAACTGCTATCTTAGACCAAAGTTTGCTAGACAGGTGGCAATTTTTAATGATTAAAAGGAACGGGGGAAAAAAAAATGTTCTTTTTAAGGAGAAATGGCTCAAAGCAGAACTAAAGAAAGTCTTCTCTCATGCATCTGAGTCTTTAGCACTCAGTCTGCCCTTGCCACACAGTACTGTGCTTGGAACATGGAAATACTGTTGAAAGAAAAGGACTTGGTTCCTGAGGAAAACCCACAGAGGGATTTCCTCACTCAGGAGAGAGATTGCTTATGGGCAAAGAAATGTTTGTGGACTGTTGGCAGACTGAAGAACTGGAAGAATGCTGGGTCCCACCAGCAGATATGAGCTCATTCTTCCAATATTTCACAGAGCAACAGCAAAGTGTAGTGGCAAGCAAGGCAATTTTAAAGTGTTTTCTTTTTTTGTTTGATGGTAGTTGTGGGTTTTTTGTTTGCTTTATTGTTTACTAAATTTTTTCATAATTTCACTTTTCTTCTTCCTGTAACATACTGTTCTGTTTCCCTTAGTTGTAGAAAAAATGGACAATGTGACAGGTGGCCTGGAAACGTCCCACAGAAGATATACAGAAAAGCTCACAGAGGTGGAGAGTGGTCTGAAGAAATTAGGTAATCTACACACAAGCAGTCCCCTGTGTAATATGGCTTTGGGGCGTTCTCCTGGCAGATAGCAGCACAAAATTTGTCTGAAAAATCTCTGGCTATGACAAGATACAACATTTCTATTCCATTTTCTCAAGTACTTGGAAAAGCATTTTAAAATGATGTTGGCTCTACTTAGGACAGCATTTTAAGCATACTTCAATATTTATAATTCCCACCAAAGCCACTCTGAAATCATTTGTACTAAAATAAACAGACACTTAAAGGTTGTCCTCAGGAGAGAGTCTTCTCTGCAACAGAGATGTAAAACATAGCAGAAGCTGTTCCACAGCACAAGATTCTACACAAAATTAAAATCGTCACCCAGTTATCTTAATGCTGTTTTAGCAATTAAGATTCAAAACTGAAGGCCATTTTAAGGGGTGCACAAATAATCAGCTATTCAAAACTCTTATGTCTGAGGTGAGTTCATTACTTCTAGAAAATGTTTCTTAATCATCTCAGGGAACGCAACACACAAGGTTATTATGAGTTCAGGTCTCCCAAGTGCTATCACAGTCCTCAATTTGCAGGAAGATGTAAAAAGATCATGGACAAGGATTCTACTCACTAAGTGTACATTTCTACCTTTCTTCCTTGTCTGGAAAGGAAGCAGAGCTGTTTATTATCAATTTATATATACATAGGCTTATAGTTTGTACAATTAATTTTTATATAAATATTAATATAAACATACATGCATGTGCTTCATGAAATAAATTTTGTTTAGCTTCATAAATCATATATTGCCGTGTATATTTCTAGGAAAAATTACTTGCTTGCAGCTTGATCATAAATTTTTACAATCTTTTCCCCTTAAAAAATAGCTGGATTCTGAAGTATTTGCACACTGCATTTAGTTCAAAGACATGGGGTAATTCAATGGTATATACTTTTACTGGTACATATACAGAAGTAAATGGTACATCTTAAAGCACATGCAACCTTTTGTGTTATATTTGGGTTATTATATTATGTTGATTAAATTTTCACAACTTGGAGCACCTTTGATTCATTCATGCCTACAAATTTTTTGCACGCTGCTGGATGGATGGCCAGTGAGATGCCCAGGACCATCAGTTCCCATTTAAGTGGCTTTTCCATGGAGGAAGTTAAAAAAGTTATGGGGCAATATGTGTGGGAGGCATAAAGGTAAGAGAACTGCTGTAGGGCCAGAAGGATAACAGCATGTGGTGAATGAAAGGCAGGCCTTCAGGGATTAGGGATTAGCTGTATGTGGACCTGGCAGTTGTCAGAGCTCTGTGAGGAACACAATATAATTTGAGCTATAACTGAGAGGTAAACATAGAGTCAGAGCTGAGAAAATCCTGGAGTGAGACAAGTGGCAGGGAGAGGAGCTGTGCTCAGGAAGATGACCATCCACAAAAGACTCCGTAAACACTTTAGACTGAAGTCTCACAAGCCACCATTTGATGTTCGCCATCATGACTCATTCAAACACACCGGAAGAAAGCTCCACACATGGCTTTATTCACTGTAGTTTATGAAAAACATCCCGGTCTCTCTTGGAGTCATCTGAAATGATGGACTTCAGACGCGTAATACATAAATACGGCTACACTTAGATGAGGACAAAAATGTATGGACTGCATGTAGGAGAGGGAAGTGATTAAGGTCAAGAAAGGGAATCTTCCCTGAAAGTGAGTATTGACTGATTATTTCCTTGGTTTCTATGTCCTGGCTGATGAGCTGTGCAGCCTCAAAAGCTTAATCACACTCCAGCAAGCTTCCAGAAGTATTCTGTAGGGCAATGTAAGCAAGAGCAGAGACATTCCTCAAAAATTAAAAGTTTTGCCTTCCTCAAACTCAGAACACGAGGAAACAACAACAGCAAAATAAATGTTGCTAAAAGTAATAGTAATATATTAGAGAGAAAACCGGAAATACATCATATCCTGTCATATCTGGAGTAGCTGGCAAAGCTTTTGTCTCTAACCCAGATTGTTTTAAAACAGGTTTTAGAACTTTTTAAAAACTAAACCCAAGATTTTTAAAAATTGAACTATATGTACTAAATCACAGTGAAGATATTCCACCTTCCAGGAAAAGGAGGAAGAAAATATGACCAGCTAAAATTTGCTTCTGACCTTTCAGCAAAATTCAGTAGTGACTTCAAAACATACACTTACTGATACCTCTTTAATATTTTTAATTCTGTTTACCATTCAGTTTTCATTCAGAATACAGCACTGCTTCACTGCATATACTCATCAGTTTCTAACGGTAGTTTTTCCCATATATGACGATAGAATCACCATTTTGTTCTCCTCAGCAAGACTCAAGGTCTTCACTGATTTCTCATTGATTTTTTTATCTGTCTAGTGGCAGAACTCTGCTTAGTGATTTCTCTTTTCTGGAAAAGATAGCACAGGAGTTCTATTGACAGAACATTTTGACTATCTGACTGTACTTAAAATACACTGTGCTTTTATATACTGTGTTTTAAAAAACTGATCCTAAAGCCTTTGATTTTTTTTTTTTTTCCTGTACAACAGATGACCAAACTGGACAAAAAGCCATGAATACTAACACTGAACTGTCTAGCTTCAGATCTGACATTCTGGCTCTTCGCCAGCAGCTTCATGACATTGCAGAGAAAACTACCAGAAACAAAGATACACTGGAGAAGCTGCAAGAGTCTGGAAATGTATTAGATGATAGACAGAGCCAAATGAGAAGTGCCTTAGATAGTAACTCTTTCATGATCATCAGTGTCAATAAGACTCTTCAGGCATATACTGGCTATATCAACAATCTTCAACAAGACACAAGTAATATCCAAACAAACTTGCAAAACCAAGTGCATTCTCATAATGTGGTCATTATGAATCTGAACAACTTAAACCTGACACAAATACAGCAAAGAAATCTTATCAGTGTCCTGCAGAAGTCAATGGAAGATACAAGCTTGGCTATACTAAGAATCAAGAATGACTTTCAAAATCTGCAGCAGGTTGTCCTTCAAGCCCGGAAGGACACCGACTGGCTTAAGGAAAAAGTACAAAATTTACAGACTTTGGCCGCCAACAACTCAGCAATGGCAAAAGCTAACAATGATACACTTGAAGACATGAACAATCAGCTCAGCTCCTTCAGTGGGCAAATGGAGAACATCACCACAATTGCGCAAGCCAACGAACAAAATCTAAAGGATCTCCAGGAGCAGCATAAAGAATATGAAAACAGAACTGCTGCCAAATTCAACCGGCTAGAAGAGAGGTTCCAGGTCTTTGAAACTGATATAGTCAACATCATTAGCAACATCAGCTACACTGCTCATCATCTACGGACACTAACTAGCAATCTCAATGAGGTTAGGACCACTTGTACAGACACCTTAAGTAAACATTCAGATGAGCTGATTTTTATGAACAGCACACTAGCCAATATTCGCTTAGATTCTGCATCTCTCAAGATGCAACAGGATTTGATGAGGTCAAGGTTAGATGTTGAAGTTGCCAATTTATCGGTAATCATGGAAGAAATGAAGCTGGTAGATTCCAAACATGGCCAGCTCATCAAGAACTTCACTATCCTACAAGGTATGCAGCTTGCCTAATGATGCCTATAATGGTCTGTGCTGAATTCCTGCTTGCATTACTTCTTCAGTTCCTGGGGATTTCCATTATCTAATCCTAAACTTCAGAAATGCAAATGTAGCTTGAATTGTCCTTATTAATTTTCCTGTGCCTTCTTTACATAGCTAGAATGGGGATGTTATGAAAGCAGGTTCTGACTTAGCAAAATTTTATTCTGACTGACTGACTGACTGGATCTGCTTTTGATTTAGGCTCTAAAATAAGCTAGTGAAGGTGTGGAACCTCAAGAAACCAATCCCTGCTAAGGAGGAAATGGCTAAAAAATATACTATTTGGACTATTCCCAGAAACGTCCACCCTTTCTGAAAAACAATTTGCTATTTCACTTTAAGCCAGTTGTTAGTCTGCCAGAAAACATCCTACTTTGCTTAGTTTTTAATCCTGGGATATTTTATTTTCTCCAGAAATAAATAGCATCAAATTTAGGAGGTTTCTCCCAGCGAAGTATTATCCCAAATGAAAAGAACACTCATATTTCCAACCTGATGTGAACCAGACAGGCCTAAAACTCTAATCACAAATATAAATCCATTGCTCCACATAAATGAAGGCTGAATTAGAGCCAAGATTACATGTCAGTAATCTTAACCTTTCTCATTTCAAGCAGACCTAAATGACTCCACTTTAGGAATTTATCTCTGGAGGAGTTTAAATGATGTAGATTGGCGGGGTGGTGGGGGGATTAGTAAGGCATTTGCTCATCCATGACCAGAATCCAAAATTATTTTGTTGGTATTGCTGTCACAATATTGCCATTTCCTATTGTGGGCATGGTTCCCTTTTCTGTTACAGCCAGCCAGTTAGCAGCAGTACTTCTGGTCTTTCCCACAGTTGGGCTGTTGCTCACTCTCCGTCGTTTTGTCCAATTTTGACAACCCATTATTGTCAGAGTGGCAAACAGGGTCGTTGCAGGAGAAAGAGTCCTGTAGTCTAAGAGTGGAGAGATGGGGCTGGAATGAAAAGGCAGTGTAGCAGAGGGAGGGAACGGGAGCACCAACGCGCAGGACTGTGGGCACCAACGGCAGGGAGCGTGTCTTGCAGGGACTGGCACCTGGGCCGGCAACCTGGGCCACGGTGTCACTGTCCAGTTTGAAGGACAAAGTGCATCAGATTATTTTCTTCTGTATCCTGTGTTTTGTGGAGGCTGAGGAAAGAGTAACGGTATAAAGCATCCGAGGAGCAGGCGTGCTTTTACCAGCACTTCTCGAAGCAGCTGTTAGCCCAGTTTTCACGGTGCTGAATACCCAGTGTTGCTGGTCTGAGATGATACACTAAACAAGGACCCCACTTGTGCTTTTTGGTTTGTTTTCTGTCTGTATCCCCACTTTGCATCCTTACATTGTTTCAGGCCCTCCTGGTCCCAGGGGACCTAAAGGTGACAGGGGCCCTCAAGGTCCTCTTGGCCCTGCTGGCCTAAAAGGACAAAAAGGAGAGAAAGGAGAGCCTGGACCACCAGGACCTGCAGGTGAGAAGGGCCCACCTGGGCCAACTGGGCCACCAGGAGAGAAAGGAGGAAAAGGTTCAAGAGGATCGCCTGGCTCCAAAGGTCAGAGAGGTTCTCCTGGCAAGACGGGTCTGCCGGGACCAAGCGGGGACCCGGGACCACCAGGTCCACAAGGCAAAGACGGTCCACCCGGGCCACAAGGCCCCCCAGGATTCCAAGGCCTGCAAGGAACTGTGGGAGAGCCAGGAGTACCAGGACCTCGAGGACTCCCTGGGCTACCTGGAGTCCCTGGGCTGCCTGGTCCCAAGGGCCCACCTGGCCCACCGGGGCCGCCAGGTCCAGGGATGCCAATGGCGCTACAAAGTGAACCTACGTCGGTGCCCGAGGCTAACGGTAAGCTACCAATGCTCCACGTGCATCTTTTGCTGAGATACAAATACATGTAGCAGAGGGTGCTCGCCACGTAGTTATGGTTCAAATAACCTCTGCTACCTTAGACTGAATCTCTGGGATTTATCGCAGAGAGCCCTGTTAAGTGAAGCCATACCTGTTGGTCTTCCTTCTGATGACCTGAAACTATTGTGAGTTAACGTTTACAGCTAAAGAAAAGGCGGCAGTCATATGAGGAATAAATAATCCCCTTGACCACACAGTTTGGCCTTGATTTCACAGTCAGGATCCTGATAAGTAAATTCCTAAACTGTATGTAAGTACTTTTGGTAGTAGCATGCTGTAGATGGGTATGGGATCCTCCCACTTGTTATTGGCCCTATGCAGAAAGCTACCACTGGCCCGTTGAGTTACCCATAACTGGCTTAACACAAAAATTTCACATCACAGGTTGTTCTCCTCATTGGAAGAACTACACAGAAAAGTGCTACTACTTTTCAATTGAAAGAGAAATTTTTGAAGACGCGAAGTTATTCTGTGAAGAGAAGGCATCACGCTTGGTTATCATAAACAACAAAGAGGAGCAGGTAATTACCTTCTCTTTCTATTTTTCAATGAGAGAGTTTGAAGTTATTTAACATGTGGAAGCCACAAGACAAGAGGGAAGCTGGGAGCATCATGAATTCATACAGTGGAGATAGTGATTGATTCCAGTTAGCGTTTTGTCCACCCTCTGCCTGCTCAGCAGTTTCTCCATGTGCAGAAGGGCAGTGTAAGCAGAGCTGGTGCTGACTCTGAAGGTGGTAGGCACAGAGGAGCCAGAAAGGCTGGCAAGAATTGTAGGAGTTTTGAATCTTTAAAGCTGGAGTCTATTACACCTTGCATATTATCCAAAATGTATTTTTTGCAGTGGTGAACATAATTTAATTTCAAATTGTCTGATTTAATACATGCAGCCTAAGACTACTGTGACCCAAAAATATCTTTAGTCTAGCTACAAATCTAGCTATACTTTTACCACTGTTCAACATAATTATTTGGTGGCGACATAGCAGTGGGGATGTCTAGATACAACTGCTTACTCTTTGGGGTTTTTTCAGTTTGTATCTGTAAGATGTTGGCTGTGACTCTATGTCAATGTAATTTTCGTGCCTAGCTCTCTCTACCTCACGTGCAAGCACTGCAATGGATTCTAGTGTGGGCAAGAATCGCATGGCCAACTCCTGAAACATATCTTCAGCTTAGAAAAATTTCTCTGGCCCTTCTTATTCTGATAACAGAGATGCTCATGAAACCAGTGTAGCTTATTGGCTCCAAAGACAGTTGTGTGTGTTTGTTATGGATTAAGATCTTTCTTCCACAGCAATGGATAAAAAGGCAGATTTTGGGGAAAGGCAGTTTCTGGATTGGACTGACAGATTCAGAGAAGGAAAATGAATGGAGATGGCTGGATGGATCTATACCAGTTTACACGTACGTAAATACAAAACAATGGTGTTTTATGCAGATGCTGCCACTCTTGCTGCCACTTCTAAAAGCAGCATATAGAAATTATCCAGTGGATCTAGAGGGTTGTAGATGCCAATGAAATAATTCATTACTGAGGGTGCTGTTGAACTGTTTTTTTCTCTCTCCCTTCTCCATGCATAAGGCTTTCTTTTCTTGCCAGGAAGAAAACTGAATGTTGAATGAAAGAATCACATAGCTACACAGCGCAGCATTTCTTGCCGAAACATTTGCTCCTGACTTTTATTACAAAGTTGAGATCGAAAGCACAGACAGTTTTGCTGTCTTGGTTTGGATTTTTCTTATTTGCATTACAAGTGGCTATAAAAAATGACCAGCCTTTACGTGAAGACCAAATACGAGTGGAAAGCATTAAACATAAGGAAAATGCGTGAAACAAGGGTGTCTATGCTTCGGCCAGCTGAGAACTGAATTGGCAGCTCTCCAGGAATCCTAGGGCTACACCTAATTTGTCCTAAATGGAACAGATTTCAGCCACCCAAATTTTTAATACTGAGGAGTGGACTAAAGAATTTATGGAGCTGAGCATGCTGTGCTCCAGAAAAACAGACTACAGTCAGTCAGATGTTACAAAATGATTAGCTGTGATCTTATTGGTGTTCATTTTGATGAGAAACATGGAAAAAGTCAGATGCATTTCAAATGAGCCGTAATATTTTTCCCTTATTCTCCCTCCCCGTTTTCATCTTTCTCTCTCTTTATGGCAGCACTGTGGCTCATTCCCACTTCAGCCGCTGCTTTCAGTAGATTTCCACTACACCGTGGTTTTAGGTGCCCTGTCGTAACCTCAGAGCTGTCAGTTACTGATTTTCAAAGTATTTCATTACTTCTGGAAAGCTGTGTGTCCTCCCAGGTGCCTGGTCAGACGCTCTGTGTCAGGCAGGCGTGTTTTTTAGCTGAGCATAGACCGTATCAGCCAGCAATCACAAGCTACCTTCGACAACCTGTTTCTTTGAGCTTTTAAGTCCGGAGGTTGGAAGCTTTTCTCACTTGTTAAACAAAAACAGGATGAGGAAACACTTGCTGCAAGCTTTTTACGTGCTGCGTGAAGTTTCACCGTCAAAGCTAACTATCTCAAAAGATATGTGTATGTATACTTTGTACATTCCTTATCTAAACATGGGTCCATAAACCAGATAAATCTTTGCCGTGCCTCCCGAGAGGCCCACCTCGGTGCGGTCAGAGGGCTGAGCACCTTTGCCCACCCCAGGCAGCACTCGTGAGCCTGCCGGCTCTGCTCAGTCCCATCTGCTGGCAGGAACGCGGTGCGCAGGCTTTGGAGGCTTGGAGCAATGCGCACGGAGCATGGAGCACTCCCACTGTATGTGCGTGTACATTCAGAAACTAAAATAAAGTTCATTGGTCTTATTTTAGGTCTCTGAGTTTTGGCAGCCCCAGGCTGAATAGATTTCCTTCTCTGTAATACATCTGTTTTCCATTTTCAGCGAGAGTCATGTATTGTTTGTTTCAACGTGTATTTCCCGTTCGGAACAGATCTCATGATGTTTTCGTTAATTTCTTGCGGTGAAAAACTGTCACGTGTGCTGCGTTGTGCAATCATATCTCTTGCTTTTTGGTTGAAAGAAACTGGAAAACAGGGCAACCTGATAACTGGAGCCATGGGCATGGGCCAGGGGAAGATTGCGCTGGGTTAATCTATGCTGGGCTCTGGAACGACTTCTACTGTGAAGATGTTAACAATTTCATTTGTGAAAAAGAGATGGACAAAGGTAAGCAAGGTGCTTGGTTTGATTATTTCACCCTACCTCTAGCAGGCCAAATTCAAGCAAATTTTCCACAGCTAAAGAGGAGAAGATCCAGGCATAAGGCTAGATGCTATGGCACTGCCTTGTTGAGGAAGACAGGGAGTCACACTTCGAGCACTTCTATTCTGATCCAGGTCAATGTGGGCTTTTGTCTCTCTGTGCAATGCAGATGCTGGATTTACTGCAATAAGTCTTGTGCTCTTGTGCTCTTTCACCACAAGAAAATAGCAGCCTTCAAGCTGATTGTAGGCATAGCATGCTCTGCATCTTGACCTTCTCCTGTAGACTTTAGACACCTAAAATTTCAAGCGTGGTTTAGCACATGTGTCTGACCCTGGCTACACTGGAAGCTTTTTTTGTAGACTCAATGGCTACGCAGGGGGGAAAGCTGGCTTCTAGGATGGCTCAGGGACCAGCCTTCGAAAAACAAAAAGACTCTGTTTTAAAAGTTTGTGCAACAGGAGGCACTTGGTGGCTGCTAAAGAGGTCTTAGAATTCCCACCACTGCCAGGAGATGTCCCATAGGGCTGAGCAGCCAGGTCCACAGGCCATGAGCAACTCGTCTGTTGCAGCTGGTGTGGCAGACTCATAAACTGCCAATGCAGCCCAGCAGTCACCCAGGTGATTGCCATGGGGCATCTCTTTCTGGTGACACAGGCATTTCTGCAGTGGCAAAGAGCAGGTGGTTCACATGGCTGCTTAGAACCCATCATCACAGAGCTAGGTGGAATTTGTGTTCGCGGCTCTGCCCGCAACATTCTCTCCTCCGTACAACCTATTCAAACATTGCTTTGCCCAGGGTGCCTGGCTGGTCCTGTTGCAAACATGTATGCTGAATTTCAGTGAAGGCAGGTGGAAATGTCAGCTAGAGCCAAAATTGCACCCCATCCACAAAAACTGCCCCCCTAAAACAAAACAAAACAAGTGCTGAATAAGCTTTGTGTGTGTATAACTTGGAGTGTCAAAAGTGAAGGACCACGTGTAACTAACAATGTGATTTGCCGTCGTTTTCCTACATACATTTGTTATTTTAGGAAAACTTCACGGTTTACGAATATTTATCCTTCAGGATTTACAGGATCTGAATATGAGTCCACTTAAAGTTTTGATATACCTTGATTTCTGTAAGTTTTCTGTTTTGGAAATGCATTTAATCTTTGCAGGCTTTTTACACGATTCTTTTTCTCTTTGTTTTTCTTTTTTTCTCTCACACTGTAGGGCAAATATTTGGAGTTTAATAGGCTGTGACTTTACAGATACCTACATATTATGGAAATCTACCTAAAGAAGAAGAAAATCCTGGGGGAGCACAACATCGTCTACCAAAATTGGAAAAAAAAAAGCAAAAGCAAGCACTGAAAACTGTTTAAAAGAATAGAGGAATTCAGCAGCAACTCTTCTCCTGCATCCTGCAATTATTCGAGGCCTTTCAACCCACAGCATCAGGAAATACCGTTGGACTATTTCTGTTATAGATTTTCTTCCCAACCAGTAACCATATACATAAGCAATTTGTGTCTTCTGAGAAAAGACATTCTGTCAATCTGAGTAAGAGTGTTGGTCACTCATATAGAAAAACATATAAAGCAACTGTGTAAACAGTATGTTTCATTTGCTAAAATCCCAAATGTAGGAAAATTATACAGATACACGAATATAGAGATTTTATATAAATATATATATATAGTCCAACTCTTATCAATAATATGGAATATACTTTTAAGAGCTTTTAAAACTTTGTATTTTTGTACAAAATATTTGCTTTTTACAATTGTTCTCTTTTTTACTGACTTTTTTTTTTACAAATATAGTGCACAGGGGCCAAAGAAAACAATAAAGGTACTAATAATTCAGTAAGGTTTGCTGTCAGACCTAGCTCAGCTATAGAGAAATATTTTTCCAGTTAGAAATATTTGTACTTTCCCAGATGATTTGTTCTGGTTCAATAACTTTTAAAGCAGATTTTAGATAGTGTTTTCCTTATTATATGCAGTCTAGTCTGTGTGTGTAACAATTAAGTTGACTAAGGACTAGATACTCATTATAGCTCTGATCACAGCCAGTGTTCCATCGGGGTACTATGCAAAGACCGTGTTCATAAAAGCTTTTCCTTCCTTCCTTCCTGCCTAGCTGCCTCCCTTCCTTCCTTTCTGCCTGCCTTTTCTGCCTGCCTGTCTTTCTTCCTTCCTTCTTTCACCTGCCTGCCTGCCTGCCTACCTCCCTTCTTTCAAGCCTGCCTGCCTTCTGCCATCCTGCCTGCCTGCCTGCCTTCTACTCACGGGAAAATGCCACAGAATTAAATCTCCAGGTTTTTAAAATGATTTTGAAATGTTTTTGTTCCTTCTCCTTTCTTGTGAGGAATTCTACCCCAGTCGGTGCTACCACAGTGCAAGTCAAGCCCAGATGAAGGATTTTATGAAAGTAGAAACAAAGGAGCTGCACACACTGAAACATGTTTCTTTTTAAGACAAATTTCAAAATTTGTTAAGAAAAACATGCCATACTCAGGAAAGTCTAATCAACTTGCACTTCTCCGAAGTTTTTTGTAAATGGATCTCTCAGTTTTTTTGGACCAGTACTTCTCTCCCAAACAAACTAGAAAATAAAATATGCTGCGAAACAGAAAGCAGTGTGGCTCATGAGATGATATCATCATCCCAGCCAGTTTCCTCCATGGTCCCGTGAGCCGTTGTCTAGGCAGCAGTGCTGCTTATCAGGAATTAAAAAAATTAGCAACCAGTTAAAGTTCATTAGGAGAAATGCTGGTTTCTGTTCCAGGTTTTTTACATTCTTTGCACGGCCAAATGCTGTACCATGAAGGAAGTTGTTTTGGCTTCTTGGGAAGGAGAGTTGTTTTTCCATCGCCTCCTGACCTGCCGTTTACCTTGGCTGAATGCAGATGAGTTTGCTGAAATACTCCAGCTCTGTTGGAAAGAGAAAAGATTTTGTACTTCAGATTTTCACATATTGCTCCTAAGACCAACCAGTTAAAGACTGCTGCTTTCCTACATCCTACACTCCCTCCCATGTTCATTCAGGGGAGGTGGCTTTTTAATTTTAACTGTCATTTTCTTAAAGAGAATACGCAAAATATTACATTTGGGAATCTGTCCTGTGGTATGTATTAGATATGAGACAGGAACAACATGAAAATCACATGTGTTTAATTAAAACCAAAAGGTCTGTACATTGCAGCTGCAGAAACCACGTGTCGCCATCTTGGAGGCAGGGCTTTTCTTCAGACAGTCTGGATTTCCTGAGACTTTTCTTTTGGCTTTGTCATCAGGTTTTGAATACAACATGATTCTGCTATACACCCTGTCATGCTGTACCTAGGAGCTGTGCATAGATACACGCTGTAGTGTTTACATACATATTTACACAGTGTCTATGGAGATAATGTTAAAGTGCTATTTTTGGATAATGAGGTACAAAACTGTTACTTTGCACGCCCAGAGAGCATCACAAAACCCTGGTGAGTGGAGCTTTGCAGAGCTCTGAGTTAGAAGCACTGCTACCTTTGTTTTGAATGTTGGCTTATTTAGGTGAAATAAGCCCATTCTGAGCATCTGCCATGTTAAATGAAGTTCTTCTTGCTTTTCACTGACGTGATAGACTTCTGTTTACAAACGAAGTTCATGAGAAACCTCTGTGTAAGCCCCGGCTGTACTGTTTCCTCAGCCTGATCTCATCCTTCTCTTCCTTCAGCAGTAGCAGTGATGGTACATATCGAGACGAGATGATCCAAGAGTCATCTAGTGTCCTCCACTCCCTCTAAAGAGGTTTTCTGCGCAGCGATGATCAACAGCTATAGCTGCATTTATGCCTGCGTAAGGTTACAGAAATGGCTGTTTATCAGCAGTAGCTGCTTAGCTCATTGAAAACTAGCACAGCAGCTGTGCTAAACTACACGCAGTTGGGTGGCTTTAGCATGGAAATAGCCATTGAACCAGGATACTTTAAGGATGCAACATGTTTATGAATTAAATACTTGTTTCAAAGTGAATTTCAGTGCTGGGTTGTAATTATCTGTAATAATGCTCTAATTATCCACCTTTAACTGAGAAATGAAATGTGCCTGGGCTCAAGTTCTCTGTTCCCACGTCTGAAGCAAAGAGTGTAGCTGTCAGGCAGAACTGGCTGGAGAGGGATGCTGCAAGGAGGGAAACGGAGGTGTTAAATGGCAACAAAGATTGGAATCACTGGGAGGACCAGGAGAGTGTTGAGACAGCTCAGGAACCCATCACAGAGAGGAGAGATTGACAAGGATGCAAGCAGGACACCAGAAAGGGCCAAGAAATTGTCATGGAGGTCAGAGCTGCCACAGGGGTCTGGAAAACATCCCCGTTAAATCTGCTTTATGTATGGTTTGAGAGATAGCGCAGGTTCCATGGAAAGTTTTGACTGATAGGAAATTCTTTTGTCCCAGCTCGAGTTTTGGCTTTCCTTCTTATGCACAAATACTGTAACTTGGCATATTGAGTACACATTTCCATCCTCCTTTTTTCTTGTTTTACATCAAACTAAATGCAAGTTCATATACCTGGCAAGCATTGGGACTGTTGCAAGAAGGGGACGGGAAGGGAGACAGAGTGCAAAGTCATTGTGATTTACATCCAGTGCTGGATTTCTTAATGTAATTTCTGACTCGTTTCATTAATTTATTTGGAAACACCTTCAGCTGATTAGAGCTTATAGATCTCAAACTCTCATCCCCTTTGATGTCTATAAATAATACCTGCAACTGTTTCAATAAAGGAAGCACTAAGCGGAGACATGGAAGTGAATGATTTTTACTCTGTGCATGCTTGTGCAACCAAGAGAGATGTGGAAATCAGAGAGATGTGGAGCCAGAAGCATTCATAGGTGTTAAAAATCAAAGTGATGTAAATTATTCTCATTAAAGCCTTCCTTCTCACTTTCACTGTCCTAGTTCTAAGCATGAGTGTGGCTATTTTATCCCTCAGTTGCAGTGTTAGCGCATTGTTCTTGCAGCACCTAAGTGCTAGAAACTTGGTTTTAAAGGTCTGAGCTGAATAAGACCTTTAAGAAGGTCTTAAGAAGCAAGAACTCCCTCTTGCAGCTCACTGTCCAAGCACGCCAAGCACCTCAGCTGGGCCCCCAAGTGAAGGATGTCTTGAGTAGAGCAGGATCAGTCCCCAGATTAGCCGTTATTGAGTCTACCTTAAACTGGCTGTTCATAATGGCTAATCTGATCTTGCTGTTTCTCTCAGATGGCTGACCTCTTCGTTTAATTTTCTGTTCCTGGCAAGTAGCTGCTCTGTTTTTAGCAAGTAGCAGGAGCTAGTCACCGATCACTGGCAAGGCGAGGAGCCAGTTGGAGGGCAGCTGCTGGCTGTCGGAGGAAACTGCTCCGCAGCGAGTAGGAGAAAGACGGCCGAGTCGATTCACGTCTGAGAAAACAAAGCCACTTTTCCCCAGTGCAGCTTCCTTGGTCAAAAGCACAGCAGCTCATGCAGAGGTAGCACCCAAAGGGAACAAAACATCTGCAGCCCCAGCCTTAAAACTGGCTTTGCTTCTTCCCCCCTCACTTCTGCACATGTCTGTATGCACCCTGGAGATGTTTGCTCCTCCACGAACACCCAGCTGCCCCCGGAGTGGGCTCTGGGCTGCCACATGCGGGCATCAAGGCTGGTGCTGGTGAGGGGCCGGGACAGGGACAGCCACCCCTGCCTGGCAGTCCCCCGAGCTGGGACACCCCGCTTCTCCCACTGCCCAGGCAGGAGTGGGAGGAGGAGGCAGCTGTAGGGCTCCCAGTGCCTGCCCACACTCACTCAAAGGTGGTGTGGATATCCATAGGTGGAAAAGCACTGAGTCTTACGGACAAGACCCTTGTTCCCCAGAAACCAGGCCTTCCTAAAACCAGAGCTGATTTGTTCATTCACCATCTCCACCTCACTTTTTCCATGCTGTTTAGTGAAAAGAAAAAAGAAAAAAAAAAACTTGGCTAAAGAAATTTTTGAAAGTTCTCATGTGTTTTCTTTCTTAGGGTGGAATACGTTTGTTTTTTCTTTCCATCTGGCGCAGAGATGAAAAAAACATTCTTTGATTTCTTCTTCAAAATAAACTCAGTGTAACGCTCCAGAATTTGTGTAGAGAGATTTTTTTTTAATATCAGAACAATAAAAGCAAATCACTAGGCAAATTATGCTCTTTTTAGAGAAGATCTTGCATGCCATGAGGATTTTCTTACCCAAAAGGCTTCCCAGAGGCATGTAAGTATTGCCAGCCTCATTTTGTGACTGGAAGAAAAAGGAGATTTTCAAGAACATGATTCATTTTAATGTCTCAGTTTGGGGGATTTTGCTTTCATATGTTGGGGAGGTGTTTTTTTCCAATGAGACCAACATTGGCATAGAGCAAAGTAGTTTTCATACACTTCTGTGAAGGGAGTGGACCTTTCAACACCAAATTCAACAGAATGTTGTCTCTCACACATCACCACGCATATGGGAGATGGCCATTTCTGCTCCTGTTTTGGAGAGCAGAGCTCAGTGTGATCACAGCAGAGCAACATCAGCCCGG